CGCCCCGAAGCGGGACGTTCAGCGCGCTGGAGATCAACCAGCGGCAAAAGTCATCCGAGAAAGCAACTCCGGGTTTTGTACGCGATAAACCCTCCTCCGGGTGGATTCGAAAGTGTCGCCCTTCTTATTGTGTTCTTCCTTGGGGATTCAACAGGGCCTAATTAGACGGTGACACACGTCAGATGTTACTGTTACAACAGATCCCACAACTGTGAGCAATTTTTAACTGACCTAAAGGATCTATGTGCGAATCCTACCACACTGCATCGTCTTGCCATACCGGGAACCAAGTGGCCGAGCAATCATCATGTCCAATTCCACCACGCGGGATGCAAGTTCAGAATTTCACGGCCCGCATGTCGGGCAGTTATCTTTAAATGTCGTTATTTGTCATACGTGTGCAGTAATGACTGTGTCCTATAGATACTGCAACTTCCTTTGTATGTATCATACGTCTCTGTTGCTATTTTCTGCTTATATCTCTGATGAATAATTCGCGACGGAGGTTGAAACATCAGACGAATAAAAGTGTTGTCCCAGCGATCGAATCTACTCCTCAACTACTTCCTGGGACACGCATGTTCGCTTGTATTGGCAATAACATCGTACACAAACACTACATTTTTAGGTCACAGACGTCGTTGCTTTTAACAAAATGGGCTGAATTACGGAGGAAACCCGCTCGATACCAACTTTTGTGAATAAGGAACCCCAATATCCATTACACCACAGATAACAAATCTACAGTTTGTTCGTCCAGTGGTTAAGCAGCAGGCGCAAATTGAGCCCAGATTGACTTGGCAAGTTATTGCTCTCACTATCGACCTCAGTGCCGATATTGTCGCCTAGTTTGCACCTGTAACATCACTGTTGGAAAATTTACAGTAAGTCTAATTTTTTTTAATTGCATTATGGCTGGATTTTTTTAGATTTAAAACTGCCAATTTTAACCGCAGCGGATGCTAATAAAATCGATGTGATCTGCGGATTCTGGCGGCGGACTCATACCACTGGATTGGCGGAACCTTCTTCCAGTCAAAAGCGCTATCTGTTGGGGATGTCTTTTTCAAGCATTTAAGACCGCCCCAGCGCATCCCTCCTTAAATGGACTGTGACTCGGATTCTGACGACGCGTTGCCACCAGAATGGCAGATAAAAATATCCGAAGAAAGAGATGGGGTCGTTTTTGTCAAGTAAACTGCATTCATCGACTTTCTGATTGCCCTTCTAGTTGTTTCAATGGCGAAGTCCGTACAAGACACCCAATTGACGATTGCGAACGTACTCTTTCGTCATTTCCGGAGGGCTGGCTGCGCATTCAGTCGCCGACGAACACCACCCTATTTGTCAAGTACGTTAAATCGTCCGTCCATACCTGGGATAAATTTTAAATATGTCGTCTCAGTATGTTTCTCCTATCACTGAACCATAGTAACTTTGACGGTCTCAGAAAATAGCAACAGAAGTTATTTAGAACTTGGAATTGCGAAATGGTTGAAGTCAGAAATTCCGTTCAGTGGACTTGTAGTGTTTGCTACTGCCCGAGCCCCTCCTA